ATTGAGCGGTATTATGTACCATCAGAATCAGTGGGAATTCCCAGCATACTACGGGGGTGGGGGTACCTTCTCCCTCAACAGGAGGGTTGGAAAGCCTGCAAGGGTGAGCTTTTTATTGGGGGACTATACCCTGAGTAACTGAAGCGGAAATACTCAAAAGAATAATTGCCTTGATTTGGCAGAAAAGGATTCAAAAACATAAATCTGTGGGAAAAGCAAACTAGCTTTTGACTCCTGAAAAACAGTGGCTTCTGAGGAAGAATGAACAGGAAGCAGGGGTGGGTGTTGGCTATTCTTTGTTTCAATAAATAATATCTTCTTTCCTCCTTACAGCTCAAAAGAAAAGGCCAACACGCCAGGTCCAGGATGAGATAGATGTTCAACCACCTTTCCTCCAGGCAAGTACACTAAACTGCATCTCTAAAACACACTGCCCTGGGAACTTCAGCCACAATGAAAAGTTCTAGTCACTAATACTTTAATTTTCCAAAAAAGAAAAATCTAACATTTACATCGGGTGACCCATAGAGAACTCGCAAACTTTTTGAAGGGAGGTACTACTACTACCTCGGCAAAGAACACAACTTGAGAAAAACAACCTGGAAATGTGAATAACTCCACAAAAGGCGGCTTCAGTTTTAGAGCCGTAATTCCTGTCATAAACATTTTACCGGCCTCCCACCCCCAAAAATCAACAGTTGCCTTTGGAAATCTTTCATTCTGGAAGCAGAAAAGGAAACAAACATGAAGCAGAAAGGAAAATAACTCCCCCAAATAAAGTTCTACTTGGAAAAACACAATAGTAATTCAGTCTCCCCCTCTTCCCTCTCTGGTGAGGTCTGTGATTTATACGGCTTTGCTCTGCAGAAAGCTCTTTCTGGGCAGCTCAAGGAAGGAGCCGAGGGAGGGAGAGAAAGACACAAGCACAGAAAGGAGAGGAGAGAGAAAAAGAAAATGGCGCAGAGACTAAGTCCCGACTGTCGACAAGGCGACTTTCCCGGGAGGAATCCCGGCCCGGAAAGGCCGCCCGAGGCCCGGTGGCGGGCGACACGGGGTCTCGGTTGCCCCCTCTTGGGAGGGTCGCGATCTGGGATAGCTGGGGTCCCCGGAAGGGGGGTCCAGAGGCGGCCCGATGGGAACAATGGGGCCGGTGAGCGAGGAACCGGGACTTAGTCTCTGGGACGCCATGTCTGTCCTCTGCCCGGCACCGGCCGGGCGCGGGGGAAGCGGCCGGCGGCTCCGGGGCCTGGGGTCGGGGCGGGGGGCACACTCACCATTCAATCGGAAATCCGCCTCGATCTGGAGAAAGAAAAGGAGGGAAGATGAAACAACAGGCAAATTAACCCCCCGGGTGGGGAGCGCGCGCGCGCGGCTGGGGGCCTGGCCCACCCTGCGCCCCCAGGGACGAGGGAGCCCCGGAACGGCCTCAGAGGGCAGCCATCCCCCCAAACTGTAACTTCGCAGCTTTCGCGCGAGGCCTAGTGAGCCCCTCTGCTCCGGCGGGCGGCCCCTCGCTGGAGACTCTGGCCTGTCAAAGAGGCAGGGCCGGGGCCGGGGCCGGGCCTGGGCCCTGGGTCGCGGGAGGGCAGCACCGGGGAGCGGGAGCCGGGGCC